AGTCAATGAGAGTTTGCCCAAAGAGGACAACAAGATCTGGCAGCCCTTGAAGATCAAGAACTGAAAGCAATCAAGTGGCCATGGACTTTTGGCAGGTTTTAGCAGAGCTATAGCATCTTATGGGGTTAGTCTCTGGATAAGGGCAAAGAAAGTCACCCCCACAGAATCTTCCTGTGTAATAGAGTCGCATGCTGGCAGTTTGGTAGAGTAACATGAACATGGAAAGGAAAAGAAATCCAGATTGTAAAGCTCTGATATTTTATTTTACTTGAACAAAAAGTGAAGAAAAGTTATGAAGAGTCTAATGCCAGTGATTCTCAACCAGGGTGTTGCAGTACTCTGAGGTACTATGGGATTCTTTTAAAAGTGTCAGAGGATGCTGAACAATATTAGCAGTTTTAGGAATGCAAACATCTGCACTGGATTCACAAGATAAACCCAGCGATTTCAAGTAGGAAGCCATAGTGTCAAAAACATTCCAACCTGTTGTGGTCTTTCTGAGTTCTTTGCAACAGAAGAATTGCTGTGTTATTTTTTCTGTAGTCAAAAATTAGCGAAATTTAAGAGCTGACATTTTCCAGGGGGGTGCCTTATGTCTAACAAGGGGTGCTGAAAATCTCAAAAGGTTGGGATCCACTGGTTTATGTGCAAGTACGTTTTCAGCCCTCAAAGAGTTAATTTGGATTTGAACTATTTTACACAGCATTCAGAAGTTCTTAATTCCTTTACAAACAGGCTGAGAGATCATTTTAATCCAATTGCCACTGAAACAAGAATGGGCAAAGCACTAAAAAAAATGGATGGGAAGGAACAATTCGGCAACAGCAGGTCTAGGTCTAATAGGTGCTTTTTGTCTCTAACACCACACCTGTGGTTCACTGACACGGTATAAAGCTGTGGAACTTTGGTTAAATGCCTAGGGGTTGTGCTACTATCACAGTCAGATGCAGCCTACCTGTCAAAAGCAGGAGCATTAGCTTCCAAGCCTCTGTTAAGTCTCAGATGATGGGAACCAACCTAAAAAAAAATAGAAGGAAAAATATGAAGTAATTCTCTAAGCTACTGAAATCCTAAATCACTAGATGTCTCCCTCTCTCCCTCAGAAAAAATGTCTGCTTACTAGCACCACACACCTACACATAGAATGTCCTTGCGTACAAAGGCTGCGGCTCTTATGAGAGAGCAATATTTACAATTACAATTGAAAACATGAACAACATTAATTAACAAGATACCTCCACCCCTTTTATGGCCAAACAAATCTTTACTCTAGCCAATACTCTCTTTCAAGTGTCTCATAAGCTATACCACATGAGTGCACTGTGTACTCAACCTTCTTTTCTCCCTTAGATAGTCAGAAAGCATTGGGGAACTGCCAATTCCAGGGAGAAAGCAGCCTGACTTGTTTGATCTTTTGTTATGTAGATTAGCTGATTAATACAGTGCTTTGTTTTTTTTCAAGGACTAAATCCTGCACCACTAAACTGAATGGGAGTTGTAACACTGGCCCCAGTGGCACTAGGTTCAACCTCTTACTAAGTACTAAGTATTGTTATTGCCATACAGTGTTGAGGACTGTGCTGAATATTTTGCCCAGCGAATGTCTGGCTCCTGTAGAAAGAGCATTAATGACATTTTCAAAACACATCATGTGTTCCTTCCTGTTCTTCTTTTTCTTTCCTTGTTTTTCTGCCCAGGGTAGATTGTGCAACCCTTTCAACAGCAGTGCCAGAGCATGCACATCCAAGGAGTAAGTGCTCCTGTGAGCAAGCCTCCGTTATGGTGAGTAAAGTTTGCGTAATCTAGCCCCAAAGAAACAAAAATATATGCCACTGTCTTCTTGAGAGAGGAGAGTATGTCCAGTTAGAAATGATGCCTGTTAGCCGTAAACATCTGGTTCAGGGATAATCCCTATGGTTTCACAAATACAGGTCTGCTGGTATTTTTGTCCAATGAAAACTTTAGGGATTTACTGAATTTCAAGAGAATATTAAAAAAAGAAAGCTTTGTTTCAATTATAAAAGCTATTGCATGACATATACATGCAATGCACACATATTCATAGGTACGTGCATTCAAATATACATTCTGATTGTCTTCCCCTATTCTGAGAATGCAAATCTATCGGGCTGCCTCTTGCCTGAACTCTTCCATGATGTCTCACTGAGGGGGCAGCCAGAATGAACAGCTGAGTTGAAACAGGTTTAAAAGACAAAACAGTCGTCTGAAGATGTGGCCTGTGTGTTCTCTGATTGGACTTGCCAGGCTAAATCCTACTTGAATGATTTATAAATGATTCCCAATGTAAGCCTGGCATGATGAGGGCAGATAAGTTCTGACCCAAACGTTGAGAGCTGTTCTTAGTTGACAGCTGTCTGATGCTGTTACTCAGGGCTATGCTAAGCAGAAGAACTTGAGGATAGTTTGGAAGTAAAAATAAAGTCCTGTAAACTGAAAGGAAAGTGTGTAGAGTGAGAGGGTAGACAACATAGCATTTATAGGTTGTATTCACCTTACTAGACAATGCAATAATCATTTGGTAAAATTCTATGGTCTAAGCCGCGCACTAGATCAGAGTAGGTGATGATAATGTTCCCTTCTGACCTTGAGATTGAGCACATACACTGCACACCAAACATGCTTCCTTTTAAGTTAAAGAGCACAGGATCTAGATCCTAAGTACAAGTAGTGAGAGAACACTTCATTTTTCATTTTATTTACCTGAAGTCCTGGTTGCTCCCAAAACAGTGGAACGGACCCTCTGATCTGAACAAACGAAGAGATGTCATTGTCCAAATAAATTGTCTGCAACAACAACAATAAAGGGAAAGAGATTCTTCAGTTAAATGTGCTATCCTGTCACTCTTCAATCAGGCAAGTGAATTTAAGGCAAATCCCAAAGAAATAAGTGAACCATAGACATCAATTCATCCTCAAAGACTTAGCTCCATAGGAAGGGAAACAAAACATGGCTTGCTTGCTTCCATGCCACCTCCCCAGGTTTAATTTCCTACTACTCACTAGAAATAAAACAGAGAGTGTTTAAGCTACCACCAGCAATCAGACAGAGCCTTTCAGTCACACTGAAGATGCAATAGCTGGACTGGCAGATCCACTCAAACAGGCCTCTCTCTCTCAAGGGATTTAACTAGGGGAAATGTCACTGCTCCTTGTGAGAAATGATGGCTAATGCCAGGTGTGGAGTAAACTTATCTGCTACTTCATTAACTATTTTTCTTTGACCACACATTGTGTCTTGCCAGAGTGTCCGATGAAAGCACTGCAAAACCTTCAGCTTCACCACACCCCTTAGGAGATGCAATGAATTCTCCTGTGAATTCTATTTCTTTTCCAGGAGGTTCATAGTAAAATTTCTCTGGTTCTCCATTGCTGCCCTATCCTGCCCTCCCATGTTTTTAATCTGTGCAAACACTAATAGCAAGCAATCTTACAGCAAACCACTGTTGGTGCATTAGAAATACAAAGGGTGCGTTCCCTCCTGTCCCTGGCCCCAAGAGAAATGTTATATTTTAAATATGCTGAGGGTAAAAAGTGTTATCTTCAGACACAGTATGACCACACAGCAACTGTCTAAAGCCAAGCTCACCAAATTGGCCTATGCTTAGCAATGGAATCCTGGCTCTTTTCCAGCTGTGATATATAATACAAGTCTCCATTATCTCGTACATCAAAATGAGCCCTCCATAGCCCAGCAGAGGGATGGTTTAAGGTAGGTCATCCAGGTAACTGCTTTTTTAACTGCACTGTATCATTTAGCATATCAATTGCCTGGTTGGGAATAATCCCAAAATGGAAGGAACAGAAGGGATACAGAACAAAGCTGCATAAGAAAGATGAGCAGGGAGCATGGCATTCTACACCCTGCCCTGCCACTGGCCTGCTGGACAACCTTTGGAAAGTCACTTCACCTTTCCCCAGCTCTAAAATTGTCTGTTCTAGAAAGCGCTAAGTGATCAGCACAGGAAAGTCACTAGATAAGAGCTTGGTATTATTGTTATTATTTTATTTTTTCAGGGTCAAATATTAACTAATTAATCCTCATGACCCTTTTGCAAAGCAGGTCTCCCTTTTTGCTGACTGAGAGGAGGTAAGAGGCTTCACCGAGACCACAGAAAGACTTAGTGCTAGAATTAGAGTTAAGCTGATGACATGAGATCATGATGTAAAATACACCTTGACAAAGGTTTTCAATCAATGCCCATAATCATCTGCAATGTTGTTACCATGGTGACAGGGACTATATAAAACCTAAGATAGTTGCTGCTTCCTTTCTGTTTCTGCCACAGGAGCTGCTTGTTGCTATGTGGTAGAAGCCACTCCTTGTTCCATCTTTCTCTTTTCTCCCAGTGTGTTATAATATCAGGTGAGTCAACTCGAGCCCCCCAATTATACATTAAAATCACAAATCCAGAGGGCCCGAATTGAGTCTGGTGTAAACTTCACTGACCTCTGTGAAGCTAGATTGACTCACACTAGCAGATAACCTGGCTCAGATTCCGAAAGGAAACTTGGAGTCTAATTTTGACTCATTTTAAGATTTTGGAGGCAAAAAGTTAGGGAGTGCCATATACTGAAAAGAAATGTCACAGGTCTGCAAGGTCACTAAAAATCAAGACTCCCATGCAGGGGCAGGATTTTAAGAGGGGTATGTTGTAATCTTAACTGGCACTGCAAGGGTGGCTACACCCCCATCCACCACTCCCATCTTTCCCCCCAGCCCCCATCACCTGGGCAGGCTGACTGCCCCAGGGGAGCAGCAGATGGGGACCATTTTGAAGTCCTTCAGTGAGGTAAAAATCTTACCTTCTCCCTTTCATCCCCTCTCCCTTCCTCTCCATACTCAGCTGCACACATCTCATCCCCTACCCTCCGTGGGAAGGCTCCAGAGCCATTCCTGTTGTGCTCCACCTGGGCTGCACGGGCTCAGCAGCCCAGGTTCCTCCTCCCTGAGCCTACTCCTTGAGTTGGTAACGAGTGCTTGTGGGGTGGGGCAAGGAGAAGAAACCTGCCCGCTGCCACTATCTCCAGCTAAGCCTGGCTCCCTGTGGTGCCCAGCTGGAGCACAACAGGAGCAACTTTGGAGCCTCGCCCTAGATAGCTGAGGACAGCAGCAGTGGTGGGTGGGGGAGCAGGGTGGTGGGAGGGGGAGGTGCTGCTGAGCACAGAGGGGAAAGGTCGGGGGTGGAATTCTTGCTTTGGTGATTTAAAAAAGTCCCCAACTGTGACATCACTTGAAAGAGGGGGCTCTGGATCCACCCCCCCTTGCATATATAGGGGAGTCACATATATCTAATATTACATGTACAGGCTAGGCAGTCTGAACATATGAACAGCTTTACACTGTTTATAGGAGGCAGAGACTCTGCTTAGAATACTAACGTTAAGATTATGCTATGCCACAGGATGTTTTGTCCTCCATAAATTGCTCCTAAACTACTTTCTCTTGGGCTATTAAGGAGTTCAAGGTCATGCCACACCCTTGAAAAAAAATTTCGCCTAAGGGTGCAGACAGAAGTTACATTTTTCACGTGATCAGGCTCCTGAAAGCATGCTGCAGCCATGCTGTGACACACATGCATGCCTGCAGAGTGCTTTTAACATGGCCGATTGCATGAAAAATTAACCCTCCTCAAATGAGGTATGAGATGAAGGCATTCTGCTTTACAGCACCTTAGGGAACTTGTGTTCCCTAGTGTTAATTTTTTCCTTGTTAGGGGCTGGGGCCGTCAGCAGGGAGGGAAGAAGGAGGAGGGAAGCGGAAGCCTGGGGGCTTTGCCTGGCCTGAGCTGGGGGGGAGAAGAAAGCGGGGGAGGTGTGGATCAGAGCCCCCTTGCTTAGCAGACTTGGCCTGGTTGCCCCCAGTACCCCAGCCAGAGGGGCTGAGGGAGGATCCACAAGGCAGAGGAGCTCCAATCCACCCCACCTCCCTCCAGTTTAGGGTGGCAAAGCCCAGAGGCAGCTCGCTGTTGCTTGCTTTCCACTCCCTCCCTGCTGACAGCTCCCCCCTGGGGAGAGGGGCAGACCCTGCCTGCTGGACAGGAGGTCAGTACAGGCAGGCTCAATCCCCCCCAGCCCCCCAACCCAATAGGTGAAATGTCTGCTGGGTTGGGGTGGGAGGGAGGAGCTCTAACTTGGGACGCTTTATGTAAAGTGCCATGAGTTAGAGCAAGGGCTTGAATGCCTATCTGTGCCCTAAGTGTTGCAACAATGTCTCTGACTTCCCTGAAAACTGGCAAAAATTATTTAGCTGTAAACCCACCATGACCCCACCCAAGTTGTTTTACAAGTTTTCTGGGAAGCAAAAACTCTTAAGTAGGGGCTTGCAGTCTTCATTCCTAGACAAATGTTTTACTTAACCTCAATAAAGCACATACTGCTTGACTTCCATCCAGTTTACCAAGCAGCTCAGGCCTATGATCAATCTTTGTCATTATTTGCCCCCCTACAATCTGTGTATCATCTACAGACTTATAATCTTATGTTTTCTTCCTGGCCATTGAAAAAGCAAAGAAATAAGGCCAAGATTATAGTGGAATCTTGCAGGGATTGAAAAGAACCCATTTAATGACACTTTACCATTTCAAAGTACATTTTAAAACTAGGCATTTTTAAACAGCTTAATATGATCTGTGTTGGATTTGTAACATTCCAGTTTCTTAATCAAAATACTATGTGATATCAAATCAAATATCTTATAGAAGTCTCAGCATATTGCATTCAGTCTATTACTTTTTATATCAATCAAACTTGTAGTTTAATTTTTTTTTAAAGGGATTAAGCTAGTTTGACAAGATGAATTTTCCACAGATCCATATTGACTGGCATCATTCTCCTCTTTATTCTTTACTAAAAGTCTTATATCAAATGATCTGCTATTTTTCCTGGGATTGATGCAAGCTTTATACATCTCTAATCACCCACCCTTTGCCCAGTAGGTGTGTGATTTTTACCTGTTTTAATTTTAGGCATGACGTTTGCCTTTGTACAATCTTGGGCAATTCCTGCCTTCCAGGACTTATTTAAAATTAATGCAAACAGTCTAGATCAATAGTTTTCAAACTTTTTTCATTTGTGGGCCCCTCTAACATTTTGAATGGAGCTGCAGACCCCTTTGGAAATTTCAAATGGAGGTACAGATCCCTCTGAATTGTAAATGTGGGTATTCACATACTTTTGATTGATAATAAGTCATCTTTTGAGAACCCTCCAGGGGTCCACAGACCACAGGTGGAAAACCACTGGTCTAGATTAGTGGTGTTCAACCATTTTCCCCAGGATGCTGGATGGGCAGTGTCCAGTTGATCTGTGGGCTAGAACTGACCAATGGTCCCAATCTGGTGCCTGGAGCAGACTTAATGAGCACCATCCCAGCCCCTTAGGGGAAGTGGGTTTGACCTGGCCCTGAAGGATAAGGAAAGGGGCATGGTTTTTCCCTTTGAGGGGAAGAGGGTGTGGCCTGGCCCTAACCCAGCCTTGCGGAGGGAAAGTGGGCATGGCATGGCCCCGAGGGGGGAAGGGGAGTAATGGGTGTAGCTCCACTCTAGCCTAGCCCTGCATAGGGGGCAAAGGGGTGTGGTCCGACCCTGCAGGAAAAGGTAAAGGATAAGGATGTGGCTCCACCCCACAGGTAGGAGGGAGTACAGTCTGGCCTCAATACAGCTGTGGGGTGAGAAGACGTGGCCCAGCTACATGGGGCTTGGGGTTTGGGAATTTGACAGGGGGGACGGTGGCTGTATTAATGGCCACCCCTCCCCTGCCACCAAAATTTCCTGACCTCCAGGGAG